TGGTGAATTCTACGGAAATCATCTATTTTTCTTTTATCAGCATCTTGAACAAGTTTAAGCGTTTCTTCCAGCTCCCTTTTCTGCCGCTGTAAGTCTGCAATGTCTTGTTCTAATCTCCCGCGTTCCTTTTCAAATTCCCGTTTAGTGTCCTCACGGGATTCGTTCCGAAGCTCGCTTCGAAGCTTCGATCTCATCTCTTCTTTTTCCTTCGTCCATGCCTGCTGGGCCGTCTTGAAGGCTTCGTCCTTTTGCCTTATAATTTGAATAATGTCTTTTTCTTTCTCTTTATGCAATTGCTCCCTCAATGACGTGAGTTCATTCATCTTTTCTTTCATCAGTTTCGATTTCAAATCTGCTTGCATAGCGGCGGCTTTCCTCTGCTCTTCGTCGCGAACTTGTCTGATCTCAAACACCTTGTCTCTTTGCAAGTTCTTGGAGTTTATTCTCTCTTTTTCTAACTCCTTGTTTAGTTGAACAATTCTTCTTCTCATATCCTCCATGGTTGATTTTGTTGACGCATTTAACACTGGAAGATTTGACTCATTTGCTGTGGTCTGTGCTGTGTATAGTGGTTGTGAACTTGCTCGCCTTAGATCAACCACTTTCTCGCCTTCTGGTGCAAGATTTTTCCATGACTAACTCCTGCTCATTTTTAACTTACCGAAGCTTGGTTTCTTGGAATGCTTTATTTACACTCGTCTTATATACGTTAATCACTCATCCATACTTGAAATTGCCACGCATTCTTGAGGTCTTAGTTCACGCCTCGTGCCCATCTTCATAACAACGCGTAAACATAAGACCTACATGCAACCACGACATCTTCCCTTAAAAGAAATGTCATGTGACAAATTCCATCAGTCCTCCTAAATTTTCTCCAATCTGAATTGATGCCTATTTAAAGTTAATTCTTTTCGGTTGTAAAAATTAGGAATATGTTATGGTTTTAGCTTCCACACAGCACATTCACATGGACTGCACTGTACAGGTAATATACATGCATAATTTATCGAAAATTATTTCTGTCACGCTTCTGAGGCTAATTTATGCAATGTACATGGTCCAACCGGACAGAGAACCGTAGAGGGCTATATGGTTCAGTTATAGACTTGTCCCAATAACATTAGGGCTTGAAAAATCGGATCAATTTAGGTTTCTGGGAAACTGCCCACCTACCCCTCCCCTACGCCATAATTTTGCCCTAAGTGAGAAGTAAGTGTTAACAGTAATGTTAGCTTAGGGGAAGGGGTAGGTGGGACTCCTAAACTAGATGCGCAACAGGAGCTGTATTAACCTGCTATCAGGCGTACTTCAGGGGGTCCTTCTTCCTTTTTCAATTTGGGTTCTTTTGGAGCCGAGAGAAAAAGAAAAAGTTTCTTTTTTTCTTTGCCCGTCATTCTCACCACCCCTTCCTCAGAAAAGAATGCCTAATGGCAGGTTAGAGCTGCACTGAGGAGTTTTACATGGTTGCATTTTTTTTTATGCAAACCAAAAACATGACAAAGTTTACAGCTGATAGACATAGGTATACTCTCTTTTTCTTCAGATTTTAAGTCTGAGGGCAGATCACGCACTCAAGTAGATTAAGGCCTGGTTCTTTACAAATTCCTCAGAATTTTAAAGGGGGGTGGTCTAATGTAAAGTTTTTTTAAAGATATCCCAGGTCTAATAAATTAAGGCTAATGACAACTACGAAATCTTCAACTTTCATTTTAAAAATTGTTTATAACTGCATCACGTGACCAGCCACGTCCTGTTTTATCGAGAAATCCTTTGGGTCGAAATGCCCACTATGTAGAAAGCAAACCGTTTTCCTTTTGTAGGTCCAAACAGTGGCTACTGATAGTCGTCTTGTAAAAACGGGTGGAATGAAACGAAGTCATTTAACGTCTTTCTCCTAACGAAAATTTTATTCAGAGGAGGACTGGCACTAGTCAATGAACACCAATTGCACCTACAAATTGTAAAGATTCCAACCATTCCAGGCTGATTTCGTAGACACTTTGTAGGGTCAAAGTTTTGATACAGAGAAACTGGAGTTACACGTTTAGGAAGTGGTGGGCATCGTTAATTGAAATTTATGAACAGAAGAGGGCGTGGTCGATCACGTGACGAGGTAATTTGGATTTTTTTT